GTCTCAATAAATTAAAGCGTTCTTTAGCTTGATATAAACGCAATACGTCTCTGAAAATAGTCGCAATTCATAACAGACTGTCTGGTCCGAGTCCGCAGTTATAACGAAATACAAAACCGAATTCACGCGCCAAAGATCCTTGTATGAACATGCGCTTGATGCCTATCGATAACCATTGAAATGCACGTTATTTTAAACGAGAAAGGCGCTTTCTAAACCTCCGGTAGTGCGGCAATTAAAATCAATATATGAACGAACGGCTGTCACGCAATATGCAGGTCTCAAGCTGTGACCGACCTCTGTATGTGTTGCATGTCGGAAATAAACTCTGGCTTAGACTCGTTTGTCGCTCTTTCCTTGACCATCCTTCCTAGTATACGTAGATTTTGCCGGAATATATAAGATGAATATATAAAAGGTTTCCTTTGCCTTTTAATCCGCGGTCGATTTGGCTACCCTGAATTAAAGAAACGATAACAAACAAGTTTTTTTGGAAAGGGATACCCATATCACTAGGCATTTGGGTATCCCACTTTCCCAGTGTTCAAAGGACTTAGTCTTGTCTACTTTATTTGCATTTTTTATAGGTGTCTCGGAAAAAAAAAAAACTGCTTGAATGGCAAAATCTAATAGGAGGGATGGTTAAGGAAAGAGCGAGAAATAAACAAGTCTAGGACATTCCCTATATCCAAAGATTAGCCTTGTCTATACTTTATTTATATTTATTTTGGCTTTGTCTCCGAAACAATAAACTTCTTTAATGCCATAGAGAACTGTTCGCGGCAAAATCTACGTGTACTAGGAAGGATGGTCAAGGAAAGAGCGACAAACGAGTCTAAGCCAGAGTTTATTTCTGACATGTAAGACATACAGAGGTCGGTCACAGCTTGAGACCTGCATATTGCGTGACGGCCGTTCGTTCATATATTGATTTTAATCGCCGCACTACCGGAGGTTTAGAAAGCGCCTTTCTCGTTTAAAATAACGTGCATTTCAATGGTTATCGATAGGCACCAAGCGCATGTTCATACAAGGATCTTTGGCGCGTGAATTCGGTTTTGTATTTCGTTTTAACTGCGGACTCGGACCAGACAGTCTGTTATGAATTGCGACTATTTTCAGAGACGTATTGTGTTTATATCAAGCTAAAGAACGCTT